TCACACAACAAGAAACAGCTGTTTCTAATAATCCTGCAAGTTATTGTTTGGCGAATACACAGAAACTGCACTTTTATCAACATCCCTGATCTGACTTTAACCGGGACTCGGGCAAAGGTGGAGACTTTGCTATTGAAATAATGTGATTTAGCTTTTTTTTTTTTTTTTTTTGTAAATTTTGCTTTCCCTTGTTTTTGTCAACTAACACCCAAAGAAAACAGCTCTCTTATTAGCTGCTAATAGTTCACTATTTCCGCAAGGTAATTGCTAACCACGCTGTTTGGTACTGAGCAGATGGGATATGGTTGGTTTTTAGAGCCTTTTAACTGAAAACTATGGGAGCAGTGAAAGTGAACCAGAACAGTAAAGTTGGGTTGTGAGGAGGATGCCAAGGCATCAGATGAAAAGCAGTAAAGTAAAGCTGGGTGCAGCCACAGTGGGGGTGAGATAACTGTCTGTGGAGAAAGCTTCCACTTTGTAATCATAGTCTAGTAAACCACTATTCATTCACCTTCGTACTGTTTACATGTCATTTATCAAGAAAGAAAAGGCTAAGTTCATTTAATGGACGTCTTTGCTTAATTTGGCTGAAGTATGAGGGTTTCCTGAGCAATGAAGCATCAGAAAATTGGGAATAAATGCACTGCTGAACTTTGAACATGGTGCCACAAGTCAGAAAGTTGTGAGTGTAAATCTCGGTCCTTCGTCCCTGTACAGGTTTGCATGTTTCTTCCCATGTTCACCCCTCTTTCCTCTGTATACTCCATTTTCCTCCCGCAGTGAGAACACATGCCGCCCAGGTGGGCTGGAAAACATGCAGTAAGCTAAACACAGGTGTAAGTCTTACCAAGTAAGTGTTAGCCCGTCTGTCATTTCCATCACATCCAGCTCATGATGGCAGGTTAGACTTCTGTTTACAATGACAAAACCAAATCAATAAATCAGCAAATAAACAAACACGTTATTTTTCACCTTGCAAAATAAACAACCAGCAGGAGATCATTACTGCTATGCCACGGATTTGCTTTGACTTTCATAAAGAGGTTCGGTTTGCACAAACTAGTGCAATCCACCTAAAAGAGTGGTTTTTGAGAATTAAATTAAAAACCAAAACAGAATCTGTACAATCCTAGTGAGTTTGAAGGTCAATATTTGGTGTGACCACCTCTATTCTTTAGCACAGTCTGAACTCTCTTAGGCAGCTTTCTTAAAATTTCTTAAAGTAGTCTTTCAGGAATAGTTCTCCAGGCTTCTTAAAGGAAAATCAAAGTTCTTCTTTGGATGTTGGCTGCCTTTCGTTCTGTTCTCTGTCAAATATGATCCCACTCTGCTACAATATTGTTGAGGTCTGGACTCTGGGGAGGCCAGTCCATGACTCATAGCATAGTTCCACTGTGTGTGTTTCTATCCAGGCATCCTTTTATTGCATCGATAGTGTGTTTGGGATTCTTGTCAGGCTGAAAATGAAGCTGTTAACAATCAGATGCCCAAACACCCCTCGCTGAAATGGATTCATCCCTCTATAAGACTGTTTCCACTGACTTTCAGTCCAGTTCTTGTGTAATGTGGGATACCTCAGCCTTTTCTCCCCTCCTTAACCATGGCTTCTTGACAGACATCTTTCCACCGAGACCTTTTGTGATGAAGCATAAGTGAACAGTAGATGGATCAATTGACGAGCCAGATACATTTCTCAGGTCCTGTGTCAGATTTTTCTGTGGATTTCTTATGGACATTAGTTTTAGATACTATTCACCTGTTGTAGACAGTGTTTTTAGGACTGCTACTTCTTTTTTTGTCCTCCACTTGTCTACTTTCCTTAAATTTTTAAGGACACACTCTACACCATATAGAGATATGTCAAGTTTTCAGCTTATTGCTCTTTGGGAATCAAAACTGTGTTATTAGATTCAGCTATAGAAATGGGAACAAATGATCTGTGTCTAAAGAAAATTTTCTAAAGATACAAATTAAAATGAGTTCTTTGCTATGTGTAGACAAAATATTGATTTGTCCCTCGAGTTAGTGGCCTTTTTATGTTTAAACGATTCATAGGTCAGTATTAATTGACAAACAAAAAGCATATTCCTCTGAAAAAGACCAAGTATGTGGACTGGACTGAAAATGAGTAAAAAAGCAGTAAAAAAGAAGCAAAACAATAAAAAAAAACTTTGGAAGAACTTCAAAAAGTCTGAACAACTATTGCTCAAGACCACTTAAAAAATTTCCAATACAATCTGGCTCCTATGAAACAAAAATAAATGAGAGGTGTCTTATCAATTTGGCCATTTCTATAAATCGGCAGGTACAGATACATATAGATGCGCTTTGAAGGTCTGAATGTCACTTAAGGTGATAATTTTGTTTAGAAAGAAGGATGGCTCCACCTGCAGGTCACAAACAGTAAAAGCGCAATCACATCAATTAGATTGCTGAAATTAAACTTGACTACACTTTTTTTTATTACAATCTGCAGAGGTGAGAAGTAACGAAGTACAAATATTTTGTGACTGTACTTAAGTAGAAAACCTGGGTATTTATTTTTCTGACAACTTTTTACTTTTACTCTCTGCATTTTTAAACAACTCTGTACTTTCTGCTCCTTACATTTTCAAAACAGACTCATTACTTTAACACATTTGAGGGGAGGGGAGTTGTTATTCCTCGCCATTGCTGGCCTTCAAGCATCATAACGATTTGAGCCTAAACAGTAACACAGGAAAGGCAGTCCTGTTTGTTTATTCCTCACCAGGGGATGTTGCATAAAAATAATAAAAGAGGCAAAACTGTCTGCCATAGTCAGACGTTAAAGTGGGCTGTTTTTTTTTTTTTTTTTAGCACACTTTTAGCACAGTGTGTTGCTAGCTAAAGCTGTGTTTCCCAACCACTGTGCCACGGCACATAGGTGTGCTGTGAGAAATGATCAGGTATGCCGTGAAAGACTGCTTTCACCTCGGTGGCTGTAGCTCAGGAGGTAGAGCTGATCAGCTATTGATT